CGCCCCACGGAGAATGGCTGGGTCGGACGTAGCCTTTATCGAGCAACTCCTGAATTTGATCTTTGAGCTCCTTTAATTCTGTCGGGGCCATCCGATACGGGGCTTTGGAAATGGGAGCAGCTCCGGGAATCAAGTTGATCTCAAACTCAATTTCTCGATCGGGTGGAAGTCCAGGGATGTCGTCGGGAAATATGTCGGGGAATTCTTGCACCGCCGGTATATCGGATATTTGAGGTTTGTCGTTGGGTTCGGATTTCAAAATATCCACTAAGTAGCCGAAATGACCCTTGTGAATAAGTTTGACAGCTTTGACAGCAGAGATGATTGGAATTGATGTTTTGGGTTGACTTTGGAATTTTAAGGTTTTGCCGTTCGGAAGAGGAAAGATGACGGTTTTCGGAGCACAATCAATTTTGGCTTTGAATTTGGTTAACCAATCCATGCCTAGGATAATATTGAAGTTCTTGATCGGTAGAACAATTAGATCAAAATTCAAGGGTTGGGTGTGAATTCGGATCGGACAATTGAGTATTATTTGCTTCGAACACATTTCTTCACCGGAGGGAATGAGAATGCGATATTCGTAGATGGTTCGACTAGGGGTGAGATTCAGATACGTAATTATTTTATCGGATATAAAGGAGTGAGTGGAACCGGAATCAATTAGAGCATATGTGGGTTTATCGAGGACAAATATGGTACCTGCGATCATAGAAGGGTCTTGTTCGATCTGATCTTCGGTCATAGCAAACACACGTCCGGGAACTTGTTTCGGAGTAGTTGGGCAGTCTCGCGCGATATGTCCGGGCTGTCGGCATCGGAAACATGTCCTCGTCCCTGGTATGCATTCTCCGAAATGTCCTTTTCCACATTTTGGGCACGCATTTCTAGGTGGCGGCGGTGGAGGTGGTGGTCCGGCTGGTCGTCGCACGGGCTGGATCTCCTTTCCTCGGAATTGGCGGTTGCCAAGGTTGATCTTCTTCCATGGGCGTTGATTAATTCCTTGGGGTCGACGGCTTTGCTGAATTTCCTTCTCGTCTTGGGCAGCCATAAGGGCCTTATCCACCAATTGTCGGAAGGTCGAGGCGTCGGACATACGAATGTCTCTACGTATTTCGGGTTGGAGGCCGCGAATGAAATGGTTCTTCTTTTCCTCGTTGTCTCGAGCAATGAATGGGGCGTAGAGGCAGCCCCGTTCGAAACGTCGGATGTATTCGATCATTGATAAGTCGCCTTGACGGAGTTCGAGGAATTCTCTGAGTTTGTGAGCTCGCACGTCTTTCGAGAAGTATTTTTCGAAAAATTGGATCTTGAAATTGTCCCACGACAGGTTCTCGAGGTTCACCCCTTCTTTAATTCCTTCCCACCAATGACGAGCCTCGTTCCGTAGTAGGAATATGGCACAATGAACTCGGTCCTGGTCGGTCATCTTCATATAGTCGTAAATCACTTCGAGCGACTTGATCCATTCTTCGGCTACGGTTGGGTCGATGCCGCCATGGAACTCGGAGGGGTTCATTCTAAGGAATCGTTCATATATAGCTTGAGGCGCGTGATTTTGAGGTGGTGGTTGGTTGCGTTCGAGAAGTCGTTCGATTTGTTGGTGGTGGGTTTGGGCTTGTTCTCGAATGAGATTTGAAAGATCACGAACGGTTTGGCCGAGGTCTTGTGGTTCATTGTCGGGTACGCCTTGGTTACCGCGTGTTAGACGTCTTGCCATTATTTCTAAATATTATTGCGCAAATAATAAGTAAAACATATAAAACACAAAGTAAAGAAATTCACATAATATTACCGGATGGATCGAGTTCCCGTGTTTCGAATAGTCTTTTAAGCCCGTGAAGTTCGTACGAGTTTCTATAAGCCGTGCTCTGATACCACCTTGTAGCACCCCCTCTATTATAGGCGATAAATCGAACCGGTTTATCGGAATTAAGTTGTTTAGCGGAAGCAATTTATAGGATCTCCAAGAAAATCAACACTTTCGATTTTAAAAAAAACCATACTTGAATATTTAGAATTCCAGTAATTTTCGCAACATTGTTTTGAAAAGCTTGAGACGATTATATTTATATATATATTTATTTTTTTTGAGAAGGATTTTATTCGAGTGCTACATTATCATAAAACGTAGGTTCGAAATAAAAATCAGAGTTTAGAAATATTTTGGCGACGAACGATAAAAGCACGGAATAAACGAACTATTCATAAATATAAACGGATCAATATATTATAAAGTTCCAAAAGAGGATCCGTTACCGATTAAAGTCCCGTACTTTAAAAACGAGTACGATATATAGTAAACGAAACGGAAGTTACTTTATATTACATCACCAAAATAGTACTTAGCCACACTTATAGAACCCTCGTTCGAACTTCCAAAAACTCCGGGCAAGACTTCGATCCACTACTCGGTCCATTCCGGGGGAGGGTTACCACTAGCACTACCTGCAATTAGAAAATATCTATATGAGCTATTAAGCTCAGTAAGAAACTCGAGGAATTACCGAGGGTTGAAAATAGGTTATACATATATATAGTATATATAACATTCCGATCACCTTTACCGAGTCATACAACATCAAACAAGAATCGAGTCAAAAGGTACGAAAGCATATAAGTCACAAACATGCTCATGAATGCAATCCGTGTAAAAATCATTTTTTTCATTTATCGGATCCGTGAAAGATTAATTTCTATATTCGGATAATAAACCGTTTCGAGCCCGTCTATGGATCCAATATCACTCATATCACTCGTATCACTCCTCTCAACCCTAGTTGGATACCGGCCCACCGTATCCGATTCGTTTATTACCCAAACATTCCATTAATCTTTCAATTTTATCAAAAGCAAATGCATGTCGTGGAATGACCACAAATTATGTGCAAGTCATTAAAACATCACAAATATCAATCAAGTGAATAACCACCCCAATCAAATACAATTATCAACCACTTAATTGCACATTTAACCAACACATATATCATTACCACATACACACACATTCTGCCCACATATACGCACGTACACACACAATCACATACATGCATATGCCATGCAACCATAAACATGCATAATAAATAGCACAATCATGTCTTTAAAGTAAAGACACTTTTATTCCATCATTTAATTGGTTTCTCACCACTTTCACTCATTAATTTCATCTTAATAAATTCCAGCAGCCTCATAAATATGTTTCTGCCACAAATCCATATTCATAATCCCATGCTTTACAATTTAAATCACACAATTCCAAGACATAGCACTTAAAGCACAAGAACTTCATAATTAGTACCTAAACCTTTAAAATTCGAAATAATAGTAAAAGATCTTTAAAAATTCTCAAATTAAATCCTAGAACTCCTAACTAATCCAAATTTCAGATTCTGAAATTTATTCGAGTTTTCACAAAGTTTCGAATTTTCCCGAAATAAAAAAAACTAAAACAAATATAAAACCTTTTGTAATTTAAAAAAATTCAAAACTCCAATATGACTTTAATATTTTGAAAACCTTTGTAAAGAAATTTTTTTTTTTTTTCTTATTTAATACTTGCTGGAAAACAGATTCAAAATCAAGAAATGAGAGATTTTTCGAAAATTGCAGTTTTGACCCCAAAGTTTCAAAATTTGCACATGCAACCACACTAGAAGTTCAAAATCCACTTTTCCATGAAAAACCCTTAACAAGTCTGAAATTCTATTTTATTAGATGCAGAAATCGAAGTTGAAAAGTCACTTTATGCAGAAATTTCGAAAATTACATAATTTACCCCAAAATCTCTAGATCTTCACATGCAATACCACTAAGAGTTCAAAAACCACTTTTTCTTGCAAAACTTCTTTAAATCCGAAATTTTTGTTCAATAAATGCTGAAAAACAGTTTTGAAAACACATTTAGGCCGGACTTCTCAAAAATTACAGATTTGGCCCAAAACTTATTAAGATCTACACATGCAACCCCATAAAAGTTCGAAATTCATTTTCTTGAAACCCCCTTTTCGAAATCTGAAATTGTTGATGTTTTTGGCCAATAAAACTTGTATCTACCCACTACCAACATAGATGATGCATGCAAGAACAAGAAATTAACACTAAACACCTCTTTTCCATTTTTCCCCAAAAAGCCCTAAATTTCGAAATACTTAAAAGTCTTTTAGGAAATCTTGAAAACTCTTTTGGAATAATATGATATCTTCTAATTGCAGCAAGAAACTCGAAATTTCTTACCTTAATGACCGAAAGAACAATGAAGGAAAGATCGAAGGGAAGTGCTTCAAAGGTTGATGCCAAGCTCTAGCCAAATTATTTTGATGGTGAAGGAGATGGAGTGGATCTTCAAGTGAAATGTATATTTCTTTTTGGTGAATGGTGTTTTCGGATGCTCCAAGTCCTTGGTTAAATAGGGGGAAATTTGAAATGATTTTCCATTTTCTTTGAAAAATGGGAGTTAATGTGGAAGAAGATGAAGGATGGAGATGGAGGTGAGGTCTCGGTGGAATGAAGAAAGGAAGACAAGTAGTAGGGTGAGGTGTTGCAAGAGGAATTTAGTAGAGTGTCTTTTGAGGTGTTGAGTGTAGAATTAAACTATGTGCCATGTGAAATTACTAATTAAATATCTATTTAAATTACCCACCTTTTGACTAACACACACACTCACACGGTTATATACATATACATATATAATATAATATTACATAAGAAAGCAATGCATGCAAAATTCATGTATGTATGCATGTATGCTATCAAGTATGGGTCTATATAGGTATAGGATAGTCTAGGGTAGTGCATTATCACACTTAATTAATCAAATATACCATATAGTATTCTAATTCACATAATTCACATAAATTTGTTAGAAAAATAAATCTACCAATTAAATATAACACATAACTAATTCACATAATTAAATTCACGTAATAACGTTACCTAAGGATTCTCGAGTTTTGAAATATTAATTTCGGCTTTTACGGTTTTGGAAAGGTGGGGTGTTACAAATCAAAAGCAACATATTGAGACAGTTGTTCACAAGCAGTCGGATCAAGAAAAAACTAATTATAAAATGCGCTTGAATACTTCAATTGAGGTGGCTCGATATCTCTCAACACAAGGATTGGCATTTCGGGGTCATGATGAAAGTGAAAGTTCGGCTAATCCAGGAAATTTTATTCAACTTGTGAAAACCTTTGGCCAAATTAATCCGAATATCAAAGATGTTACTCTGAACAATGCTCCACAAAATCATAAGATGATATGTTCAAATATTCAAAAGGAGATTGTAAATGCATTTGCAATGGAAATTCTAAAAGAAATTACAAGTGATATTGGGGATTCGACGTTTTGTCTAATGGTTGATGAAGCACGTGACATATCAATGAAGGAGCAAATGGCCTTGGTGATAAGGTATGTCGACAAATCTGGTAGTGTGATCGAGCGATTTTTAGGGGTTGAACATGTTACTGATACTAGTGCTTTGACTCTTAAAAGAACTATTGATGATTTTTTTTCTCGATATGGATTGAGTATCTCTAAATTACGAGGTCAAGGTTATGATGGAGCTAGTAATATGAGAGGTCAATTCAATGGACTAAAAACACTCCTCTTGAATGAGAACTCTTGTGCATATTATATTCATTGCTTTGCTCATCAGCTACAATTAGCTTTAGTAGCAGTTGCTAAGAAGCACGACCATATTTCTTCACTTTTTGATTTTACTACAAGAGTGTTGAACATTGTTGGTTCTTCATGTAAACGTCGTGATTTGCTTAGAGAGAAGCAATCTGAAAAGATAATTGAGGCACTCAATTTGGGAGAAATTTCAAGTGGGCGAGGTCTAAATCAAGAAACGAATCTCAAGCGAGCAGGTTATATTAAGTTTATGCTTTAATAATATGCTTTTACCATTTTTATTAATGTCTCATCACTTCTCTTTTAATTTTTTTTTAAATACGTAGGTGATACACGTTGGAGCTCTCATTACAACACTTTGTTGAGTTTGATCCATATGTTTGATGCAGTAATTGATGTACTTGAAGTTATTGGTCGCGATGCTTCAAGTACAACTCATCGGACTGAAGCACAAGATATTGTTGATAGGCTTTTGTCATTTGACTTCGTATTGAGCCTCTTTTTGATGAAAAAGGTATTGGCAATCACAAATGAGCTATCTCAAGCACTTCAAAGGAAAGATCAAGATATTGTAAATGCAATGAGATTAGTTCAAGTGTCAAAAATTCAAATTCAGTCCTTTAGAGAAAGCGGGTGGGATTCTTTATTTGAAAGTGTAACCACATTTTGTAAGAAACACAAAGTTAATGTTCCTCAAATGGATGCTAAATATGTTGCTCGAGGACGAAGAAGACGAAATGAAGAAGAAATGTCAAATCTACATCATTATAAGGTTGAAACGTTTTACACTATTTTGGATATGCAACTTGGAGAATTAAATGCTCGATTCTCTGATTCAACAATGGAATTGCTTGTGTGCATTGCTTGCCTTGATCCATCTGACTCATTCTCTCACTTTGACAAGGACAAATTACTTCGTCTTGTTGAATTTTATCCACAAGACTTCACCGAACTTGACAAATGCAAGCTTAATGATCAATTGGATACTTACATAGTTGATATGCGCTTAAGCAGTGAATTGCAGGGGTTGGATGGAATTAGTGATCTTGCTCGCAAAATGGTAGAAACTAGGAGAAACAAGGTGTATCCTTTGGTTTACATGATTTTGACTTTGGCATTAACATTGCCGGTTGCTACTGCTATAGTCGAGAGGGCATTTTCGGCTATGAGTATCATAAAGAGTAGATTGCGCAGTCGGATGAATGATGAGTGGTTGAGTGATGCTTTGCTTATCTTTATTGAAAGAGACATCTCCGCAAGAATTGGCAATGACCGAGTTATGAATAGTTTTCAAAACATGAAAACTCGAAAGGGCCAATTATAGTTTGTAAAGAGATTGTACGATTATATTTTGAAATGCAACTTTAAAGAGTTTGATTTATGCTATCTAGTTAAATTCTATATTTAGTTACTTATTTTGTGTTATTAAATGCAAGACAAATCCTAAAAAAAAAAATCGGGGGCGCTGCCCCCGAACCCCCAATATTTTTACGCTTAAGCCCACCCTCGTTCCAATTCCTGGCCTCGCCACTGCCTGCAACGCCGGGAGGAGATCCCGGCGGGAAAGCTCCGACGATCAAGTCAGTTGTATGTTTCAAGAAGTTATTGTTGTAATGTAAGTACGTGAGTGTGTGTGAATAGATGATATTTCCTCTATTTATAGATGATCATTCCTTGGCCTCTAAGGTTTCCTTTTTTAGGGTTTTTTTCTCCTTCAAGTTACATTTTCTGGGCCTTTATTATTTGGGCCTGCTTAGACTTTATGCATCTCCTCGGTGTTGGGCTTCGGTCATTTTTATACCCGGCTGCAAATTACGGTGTACCGAAGTCTTAAGTCGTTATTTGGAGATCACAGTTTGGTATCTTTTCTTATAGTAGTGAGTCGGTTCTTCTTAACTCGTATTTGTTCATCTCGGTCAGAAAGGCCCGTATCAACTACTCCCCTTACTCCTTATTTATAAGACGAGTTCGTTGTGTCCCATCTCATTTTATAAGTATGGAGTACGAGACGTGATCTCGATTTTTACTTACTTTCGGCAGACGCACGTGCGCCTCATTTCCATTAATTACTTTGACACTAAATATGGTCGATTCGAGTTCCCTAGGTCATCATTAGGAGATTTCAATCGGTGCTTTTTACGTCAGATTCGAGGCCCGTCCAAATGAGTGGTTAGGATTGATTCTCTCATTTTTCCCCCTTCTATAAATATCCATCCTCGGTGAATTTCCGAAATTTTTTCCTCTTTCCACCTTTGTGCTCTTCCTCTTGTTAATTTCTTCCGGCGTTTCTGCTTTCAAAACAGAGCCCTAGCCTCCTGTGTTCGTTTTCTTCCCCAGCGAAGGTACTTCTTTTTCCCTTATCTTTTATCACCTCTGTCTTTTTCTTCCGACATATATGTCTCCATATTCCCCTGATCCCTTCGGTCAAAAAATGCTTCCCGGTCACTCTCTCGGGGAGGAGGATGAACATCCTGCCCTCACCATCTTTTCCTCTTCGGAGGAAGGACCTTTCTTCTCTCCCTCGGGTAAACTGTTGAAAAAGTCTAAAAAGAGGGCTAGGGATGATCTTCTGTCCTCAGCGATGAGTGGTTCTTCTTCGTTGTCTGAGGGGCGAGATCCAGATGACCAGTGGGGACCTAGCACCCTTAGCGAGGTAGATCTAGTGAATTTAGCTCGCGACATAGGTCTTCCTTCTGACACTGAATTAATTCTTCCTTCTCGAGACGAACGTCCACTGAATCCTCCCCCAGGCTTTAGTACCTGGTTTTCGGAGCAATTTTACTTCGGTCTTTCTTTCCCCATTTCGCCTTGGTTCTCTGAAATTGCCCAAATATGCAATGTATCCCTTAACCAATTTCATCCTCATGCCATCATCATCATGACCGGGTTTCGCATGCTTTGTGCCTGGTCCGGGGTGATTCCTACCCCGACTCGGTTTCGAAGTGTCATGGTGTTGAAGAACTCCAGTCATTTCCACATTTCGATCTCGGCTCGCCCGGGCTTCAAAGTGCTAATGCCACCCAATAAAACGGATGGGTGGCAAGGCCATTATTTCTTCGCTAAAAATCCCATCGACACTCCTTATTTATGTCCTTGGGTCGCTACTTTACCCGAGAAGAAGAAGGGGAAATCCTTATCAATCGATGACTAGCTCTTGAAAATGATGGCCCATTTTCAACCGAGCTACGGTCTCCCTGATAGCCTTACGGGTTTCCCGCCGATGCTTCGCCACTTCTACTTTCATGACAACGGCACCCACGCTTTGACTCGAGCAGATTTAGGTGGGTCTAGACATGTCGTTTACTTCGCTTTTTCCAATCTTTATGAGCAGACTTAATGATGAAGAGAATGTTTCGAGGTAGCAAACCAGCCACTCGTCCCTCCGAGCCTGAGCCCGGGTTCCAGGGGTCCGAGTTTCAACGTCCCATGGCCGCCGATTCCGAGAAAAGGCCATCGGACGAGGGGGCTTCAAGACCGAAGGCCACCAAGAAGAATGTTGGGCCCACGCGCCCACGAGGTGGGTTACGAATTGAAGACTCTGAGCCCCCTCGGTAGTCGTCGGCCTTAGTCGTGGCTTCCCCTTCGCTGTCCCCTACTGCCGAAGAGGTTGTAGAAAAAGAGCCTTCTTCGAAGAAGAGGAGGGCTGACCAGGCTCTCGGACCAGTCGGTTCGCATCCCCTTCCTGACTTCGCACTCCATCTCTGCCAGAACGCGGAGAACGCCATTGCCGCTTGTCGGGCTTTGGCTTTTCCTCGAGATGTTGCCTACTACGGGCAGATGAGCAAGGGTGACCGACTCGAGCTACTTCTGCACAATATTACTCAGGTTGGTAATAATTATTTTTCGTATATACGAGTCAATACTGTCTTTACACTTTTGTTCACAACTAACTTTATTTGGGTTTCTTGTATGTGTAGCAATTTGCCATCGCCTTCTCGGGTCCTCTAGGGTGGGATGACGTCTCTCGCGAGGCGTATGATAATCAGAAGAAGGAAGTGACCCAACTTCGAAGAGAGGTCCGAGCTCTGAAGGAGAGCAGCATTGGCGGAGTCGTCCAAAGAAGGGTTGTTCGCGGACGTGAAGCGGGAGCAGGAAGAGAAAAAGGTCTTGCAGGCAGAGAAAAATTCACTGGTGTCGCATAACGCCAGTTTGGAAGAAAAATTAAAGGTATTGACCAACGAACTATTCGCCGCCGGAGTACAGGCATCTGCCAACTTTACTGAAGGCGTGAAAGAAGGGCACCGACTGTTCCCCGGGTCGTCCGAAGGATTTCGGTTTATGCAAGAGTTCGTTCGTCGCTTCTTCCACCGCCTATGGCGTTCGACGACTTTTACTCGGGAAGCTTCAAACCTAGCTCGCTTCTTTTTCTCTGCCACGGTCAAGGCCGTCCAAAAACGGTTAAGTGGTGCCGGTATCGAGTTTCCGTTGGTCGAGAATGAGCTCGCCGAAGACCTTCCAGACAACGAGATTCCGGGCTTTGTAGGGGATGTGAACGAAGATCCCGATTTAGAGTAGTGGAAACAAGTATACCGGGAACTCGTTGAGGATTTCTCTCGTCAAGGAACATCGTCGGTGATCATTACCGATTATGTCGGGGACGTAGAGACCGTTGAAGCGGTGGCTGGCCTAAATGAAGCACAATCGAATCCCATTTTGACTCCATCTCCCCCCGCGGACAATCCAAACGAGGCAAGGACGGATCCTTCTGAAGCGAGAAGTGAAAATGTTTAAGCCGTTTGTACTTTGTATCTGTTTAAACCATGTACTCTTTTGTTTTTGTTCCGAACAATGTTTTGTTTTTGCCATCTTCCTTGTATGATGTATTCTATTTCGGCATCTCGTTTGCCAGTTTTATTCTATATCTCTTATTCAGATCCTATGTTTTTTATCTCTTTTATGTGTTTCATTATACTGTGTCGGTAGTTTTTTCGGTCAGCTCACTTCTTCTTATCAGTTATCACTTTCCTTGGTTGTTTTTTGATTTACTCTCTCGTTTTCGAGGTGGTTTTAAATTCCCATGGTTCTCCCAAGTCTGCTTTTGTTGTACTTCTAACCTTAGCTTGGTTTGATGGTTCATTTTACTTCGTAAATCAAGTCCCTTATGTGATTTTAGCAATTCATTTCATACTAATGCAATTGTCTGATTTTATCTCGACCCCTCGATTTGATTATGCCTCAATCTGTTTCACAGTTAGGTTATTCGATTTTCTCGATTTGTTGATAATTTAGCTCGATCTAACGACTTGTTTCATATCAACTTGGCTCTTCAACTCAGCTCGATTCAACGACTCATTTTGTATCAACTTAATTTTGTAACTCAGCTCGATTTAACGACTCATTTCATATCAACTTAATTCTGCAACTTAGCTCGATTTAACGACTCATTTCATATCAACTTAATTTTGCAACTCAGCTCGATTTAACGACTCATTTCATATCAACTTAATTCTGCAACTCATCTCGATTTAACGACTCATTTCATATCAACTTAATTTTGCAACTCAGCTCGATTTAACGACTCATTTCATATCAACTTAATTTTTTCAACTCAGCTCGATTTAACGACTCATTTCATATCAACTTATTTCTGCAACTCAGCTCGATTTAACGACTCATTTCATATCAACTTATTTCTGCAACTCAGCTCGATTTAACGACTCATAAATGACACGGAGATTTTAACGTGGAAACCCTCCAAATGAGGAGAGAAAAAACCACGGGGCCTAGCCCAACTCGGAAAATATATGTTTATTGATGGTATTTGCTTAGAAAGTGTGTTGCTTCTCCCCTTCTCTCATTTTCTTTTTTTTTTTTTTTTTTACACGAAGAAACGTTTCAAGTGGATTATGTTCCACGCTCGTGGCAGTGCTTTTCCTTCCATGTTTGCCAGTTCGTATCCGCCACCAGCCAAACACTTTGTGACTGCATATGGCCCCTCCCAATTAGCTTCCAACTTACCCGTGTTTTTCAGAGCATCAGCTCGTCGAAGGACCAAATCACCAATTTGGAAAGAACGAGACTGGACTCCCCGATCATACCGGGCTTTTATCAAATTCTTGCTTCGTTCCATATGTAGGTATGCAGTCTCTCGCAAGTCAAAAAATTCGTTCAATTGTGCTCTTAGGGCGTCGTCGTTTTTTTCGTGGTCGAATGCGGCTATGCGAAGTGTATCCATTGCCACTTCAACCGGGATAACCGCTTCAGTCCCATAGGTTAATCGAAACGGCGTCTCGCCAGTAGCGGCTTTGGCAGTTGTCCGATAAGACCAGAGGACCGAGGGTATTTCGTCTACCCAACTTCCCCCCAACTCGTCTATCCTTTTTTTAAGGCCATTGACAATGGTTCGGTTCGCGGATTCGACCTGTCCATTGGCTTAAGGATGCGCGACTGCTGCGAATTTTTGTGTAATTTTCATTTCCTCGCACCATGCTCGAATTTTCTTTCCGTTGAATTGAGTGCCATTGTCCGACACAATGCTCCGGGGTAAGCCAAAACGGCAGAAAATATTTTTCCATATGAAATGCATT